CGATCTGTCTTCTTCCTCTAACACCGCAGAGATCGCTTAATGACAAGTGAGGTCAAGACCATGTCCTCATTTCGCCTTCCAATTACACGGTTTGAATTTTATACTTTGCACTAAGACATGGTTTTTTTGCGTAGGGTCATGCTAATACACTGTTGGATTAATATTTAAGAGAGTCGTTTTTTTGGCCTTGCCAACCTATTGAATGGATTGACAACTGTCACCTGCTCGAAGTCACAGCTATTAACTACCTTAATGACTAATCCTTCAGCTATTGACTTGGGGTGTGGTGAATATAAACAGTGTCGAGATTACAGGACCAGATGTGATTCACATCTAAAAATATATATACATATCCCAACTCATATAGCTCAGACCTTTCAAAGGTAGAAGCACATTGAACCCCTCCCCACTCCCACCCCCACCCCCTTCGGCATTTGTTATGTTCCAAACTTCCTTTAATTACCTTCTTAGTGCTCAGGTTCAGGAGTTAGTAATAAGATAGGGAGAAAAGTAGTCCCTATAAGTAAAACACTCTTCGATATCCGTATACCCAAGTTCTTCATGACCTTTCCAATAGCGTGTATATATATATATATACATTATGGCCAAGATAGCAGAGACGTGGTGATTTGTGCCTCGAAGTTTATGGTAGGTACTTTAAGTACGGACTGTGGAGTATTGAATATCCAGTATGTTGTGTTTCGCAATATTCTATACTTATCACATTGGGGTATGTGATTGACTTGCCTCCACGTGGTGCACCCTGGGCAACGTATACTCATACGGGGTCTATTAACTGGCAGTTGACTTCTGACTTCAAATAAAAGTCTATCAATCGGCAGTTGACTTCTCACTTCAAACTAAAGTCTATTACCTGGCAGTTGACTTCAAACTACCATGAGTAAGTCTATTAACTGGCAGTTGACTTCTGAGTTCAAACTATCATGACCCCAAGTCTATTAATCGGCAGTTGACTTCTGACTTCAATTACCATGATCTATTAACTGGCAGTTGACTTCTCTATGTCATATTCGTTATATTAACTGGCAGTTGACTTCTCACTTCAAACTACCCCGTCAATTACCTGGCAGTTGACTTCAAACTACCATGATCCCATTATAAATCGGCAATTGACTTCTGACTTCAAACTATCATCACCCCACTGTATATCTAATTTCACCACTTACACAGTACTCACCTCACCTTTTTTCTACCTCTCTGCCTGTCTCTTTTACGTCTTTGAAACACTCTTCTATCCCCCCCTCCTTCTCGACTGTTTTCACTTTGATGTTCCTCACCTTCTGTGAATCCTGAAGTCGACCAAAAGGCTAATGATAACTACCAAAATGCCTGCCATTTGATATAAATAAATACTTATCACATTGGTTCACTTTATCCTGGTCTCACGTAGTTACCTACATATGCCGATTTAATACTCACTCAAATGCCAATGATGTTATCAAGGTCAAACGTACCCGCTGAACCTTCGTGTTCAAAGCATACTTCAATAGAGTTAGGGTCACTTTACCGTCCCCCCAACTTAAATATTTTCAACGAATCTCAACGCTTTTGTTGAGGAGTGTGAAACTATCTTTATTAAATAAATAAATAAATAAATGCAAAAATCATTACATCAGTGCACACTGAAAAGCCCATTTTGAAACGAATGCGCAAAATCGATACTGTCTTACCAATTTAATAATATCGATTTTAATTACTTAAATATTGAAAAATACGTGTTTTTTTGCCACCACCAATCCCATTGAATGCAGCATGAGGTGGACTCATGATATCTAGTAGTTTCAATGTGCAAAGAACCCCTAATTTAACGAAATTTGTGTTTAATCTAAAAGAAAGTAGCTTACTCAGTTGCTGATAAGAGGAATTGTAGTTTGTGGAGACAACCACAGGATTTTCACCAGGTTTCAATTTCGGAGTACTTTTCACTAAACGGCCAGATGGTACCGGAGTTGAAACAGTGTTGGGAATATTGGATTTAATGACTTGAATGGCTTCGGATGGAATTCGTTTCCTAACTACGGGGTGTCTTGGTTTCGTGGCATCTTGAAGTTTCAGTTCAAACATTCGTCGAGTTAATTCCACATAGCGAATATTGTAACCATGCTGTTTTTGATCAGATTTTCCCTCAGAACATTT